ACAACTTTTGTGTAAAATGATCCCAGAGCAGTTCAGATGAAGACACAACGAATGAGGCTCAAAATGTTTGATTATGAATCCAGCCAATGTTCTTCCCTCAATAATATATTTGAAGATTTCGGTGCTTCATGTTGTTGTCGTCAACTGAACGGTCTCTGCGAATGGTAACTGAAACACTTCTTGTTCATGCAATGAGGTTTTCCTGGCACGTTTGAAATCCAGGTTTCATGATGCTAGCAAGACTTCAGGTGGGTTGAATGAGGCGATTGCATTGCTAAATAAATGGGAAGTAACAAACAATCACATTTTCTCCTGAATTACTTTGCTCTCACTCACTTGGTTGTATGGGATAACGGATAAGTTGGTCACATGCAGCTTGACTGAACACATTTTCTCAATAAATGTATTGTGATTGACAATTGGTATCTTTAACAAATAGAATATGTACAAAGATCATTTAAATGAGGTGATAAACTGGTCTGAGAATCTATAATATACTACATGTCTCCATCTACAATTGGAGACATACATCAGATGTGCACAGATATACAATGCTCTTTGACAAATGGACATGAAAAACCTTTTTACACTTAACACTATTAATGTTTGATAAAAATATAAGTGAATGTGTCCTCTTTCAGCCAACATTAAATTATTTACATTGAGTATAACGGGGTTTGACAATGATACGTAAAGCTTAAAGTGATTTCACCTGTGTGTTTTTTGGTATGTGTGTGTGTGTGTGGTCACTTGCAGCAGGCTTTCTTCTTTAAAGGTTGATCCACCAGTCTGACCGTGTTTACCCATACTCTGTCTTCCAGCTCCCTCAGGACCCTTAAAGCATATTAATTAAAATACTAAAATTAAAATAGAACAATAAAAATATGAAAAAATAAATAATAATAAACAAAATAATAAAAAGCAATAAACAAGTTGCATTTACATATAAGTATTCATTAAAATACTTATGCATTTAAAATTTTAATTTATTTCTATATTATTTATAATATTAAATATTAAATGCATTTATATAAAAAAATTACATATATATTAAAAAAATACATAAAAAGTATAAATTTATATATTTTCTAAATATTTTTTGGTTGTACAAATACTCTATTCGCACACGTTTCACTTCCATATTTAATTTATTCAACAGCTGAAAGTGTCTGATTATAGTGGAGTTACTGAGATAAACTTAGCATCAGGTGATCTCAACATGGCTGGCACCAGCCATATTTAGTGGGCCTGTCAAAGTAAATAAACTACATAAGGTTCGCACAATCTGTAAAGTCGCATATTTGATCACACTTTAACAATAAAAAAGAAAACTGCAAGCTTTCTGGTTGACATCTGATATTGTTTACTGTCGGTTAGTGGTCTCACAGTTTTATAACTGTCTCTTTTTTGTGGGTTGCACTTGCAGCCCTGACTGAGGTGTTA